GGAAAGAGTAGCTCACAAGTACCAAATACTCAATGTCACTGATGTTAGCAAAGGTGAAAAGAACTCCTTAACGCATGGATGTTCGACACGATAATACTAGAAATTTCAAATAACGTGTGTTGTCCCAGCTTCTGGACAGGAGCAGTAGTACTGTACATATTAATAGTATTTCCACCAACCTAAATTTTTCTCTGCCAGACCTGATGCTCGTTGTTGATTATTTTTTTTAATTAGTTATATTACTGGTGGACAGAAATTACAGCTAAGTGGGAGTTAATGTGGAGTCATTTGTTTGTTCTGCCACACTCACACCAATGGTATTTCCAGAAATGAGTGTGAAATTCACCCAGTAATGTCTGTCTCTTAGACACAGTGCCGTAACTGGCTGAAGACTGGCAACTGCCTCTATGGGAACACATGTAGATTCGTACATGGCCCTTCACCACGAGGTAAAGGCTATAGCAGCAGTTATAGAAGGTAAATCAAGAACTCACTTTGAATTCTTCACATGCTGTAGGAAAATAGCTTTTGCAACTATGTCTTCTGTTTTTTTTTTTAAAAAAAATGAATGCTGTGGTGTGCCTAATGGTATGTTTTATCAATAATCAATTGCATTGTGAAGCTGCTCAAAACAATTAATTTGGCAACTTGCAGTGGGTTTTCCCAGGATTTTTGTGTGTGTGTAGCCTTAAAAGATGATTGGAGTCCGCTGGATGCAGATTTACTTCTTATGTTACTTGAAATGAGAAGTTCAAGTACCTTAATACTTTTTTTTTTTTTTTTTTTCTCTTTCCTCCTGTGTAGTCACTACGGCTTCTGATATACCTTTCTGTCCTTTACTAAAATGCTGGTTTGGAACTACTTACAGCAGTACTCACATACCTGCAGCCCTTCTGCCTTCGCTATATTGTTTGATGAATAAGGTGTCTATCCTTTTGCTCTTGTTGTGAGAAAACACTTCTCTTCAAAACATAGTTTTGTGACTTTATCTGTCAGATATAGAACAAATATCATAGGAGGAGATCCAAAAAGTTACTTCATTTTTCAGAAGAGAGTATTTTTTATTTTCTGCCTCTTCATATGTTACTATAATTTAAAAGTGTTGGGTTTTTTGACTGTCCTTTGTGTGGCATAACGCCTTACTTAACTGAAACTAAATGTAGCAGTAAGTTTGTAATATTCTTGCTATAAAGGACAAAAAGATAGTATAGTTTTAGCATAGTACCTCTTTGTATGAAGGCTTCACATTTTACAAACAACTGTGCCTCAGTGCTGCAGTAATGTCAATGTTACCTCTAGATTATGGATGGGCACACTGAAGCATCAAAGTGTAAAGCAACAACAGGCAGGTTGGCAAGAGGTTAGGGTTCTGTTTCTGGTTCTTTTTCCTATTCCTGTGGCATACTCTCAGGATGATCTTGACTTTGCTTGTTTGATCTTCCATTGCTTCTAAGGTGATAGCAGCTGGGATACAAAATATATCACTGAGTTTAATGTTTCTTTTGGTGTGTAAAAGATTTTACTCTGTTCTGTACTGAATGTTCCAAATGGGACAAAGGAGTGATTTACTGGTAGAGATTAAATTTTAAAACTGTTAGAATGTCACTTTCACCTTGCTTTCAGTGTTTGGAACGCTCAGTGCATAGCTCTGCTTGGTCATTTGAAGAAAAGTGACATTTCTTTTAATGATTAAAGCTGCGTTTCTGCTTCACTGTCACCATTGACATTTAAGAATAATGTTGATTTACTTCTTTTTATTGCTAACTTTTTTTTACTAGGACTAAATGAAAAAGTCAAAAGATGAATCTTGCTGCTTATTTGCCTGATACATTGAACATTTAATAAAGTTGTTCTTAAAAATGAAAGGGGGAGGAAACCCCTACCTACCCCCTCACCCCCCCCAAAACAGATAAATGAAAAAAGCATGCTTGTCTTCAGAAGTTTCTACTGATAGCTGTTGGCCAGGCAGAGAAAAAGCTGGTTTATGTACATAATAAAATGTTGGCATTTTCATGCCATTTAGCATTACAGAGATTTTTACAAATGTTATCCAGGTATTTTGAGTGCAATTTTATTGGCTTCTTGCAAGCCAAGCTAATGCTGCTTCCACATCAGTTCAGTTCAAGCAGTACTCTTGTTAAAGTATCTGGGACAACATAATGGCAGCGTGTCCACACGTGTTCAACCAGGCATGCTGGTTAAGTCTTTTGTCTGTTTTGCAAGTAGTTTGGTAGGACAGAGCACGTCTTGCTGCCTTTCAGCCTTGCTCCTTCAATTTCATACCTGTCTAAAATAAATCTCATTGTTAATGGTTTTGTCTGACCATAATGCCTCCCATAGTTCAGAACATCACCAGACAGTAGGAAAACTTGACTCTAAAGTGTGAAAAAGACTCTTAAATCTGGTTTCATTGTAACTCTGTTTCAGCGTTAATGCTGCCTCTCACAGCATGAATTTTAATCTTGCTGTTACAAAAATAAAATCTATCATGTTTTTACATACAAAGCTTTCCTGATGAAGGTATTAAGAATTCAGTAATAGACCTGTCAGTCTTCCAGGCATCTGAAGTAAGAAGAAGCGATCAAGGAAAGAGCTGTGAGTAAACGTGCTATTCTACAAGGAATTTTGCTCTCTTGCTCCACTTGTAGATTGTTGGTTAGTGGCTTGGCAGCTTCCTGCTGGTTCTCTTACACTATTTTCAGGATCTATGCCTTTGTAGCATCCCTCTCTTAGCCTGTCTGATTCTCTTCATTCCGGATCACTACACTGGATTTAAAAACAAACCAGCAGCAATATTAGGTGAGAACATACGGATTTTTCAAGGTTCAAATATTGTTGTTTAGGATACTGAAAAACAGGACAATGTTTCAGGAGCATTCAATTACAGTATGTACTTTATACACTAATAATTATCTGCCTATACACACACGTGTGCGTATACATGCACACATACACACAGATATTCTCAGACAGGTGTGTTGTAATGTGTGCCTGTTGCTAGGTAGTTGTTCCTGACACTGTAAGAGGTACAGAAGCAAATGAAGGTGCTGTTATGAACGTGCATTTCCTAACCAAGCCGCTCAATGTGGAGAACTGAACTGTTGTGGGAAGTAATGCTGTTTAAAATCACTTAACTGCACTGCTTAAAATTTGAAATTATGAAATTCTGCATTTTAGGCCTTATTTAAAGGATGAGCCCAGCACAAAATACTAAGTCATTAAAAAATGTTTTGTTGAGTGGTTTTCTTCTTTCAGTGTACAGGGATAATGCTGTGGAGCCTTTTGTGTGAAAGGTTCTACCAGTTGCAGTCTAGCCACATCATCTTAAACTGTAGAGGTAAAATTGTAATTATCTATTGAAATTCATCAGCGTGCATTACCTGGAATAACGAAAGATCCCTTTTTGTGGGGGAGTGGAGGAAGGTTATGTAGAAAATAAGCCATTGTGTAAAAATTAAAATTGTGGTACACCTGAAAGAAAAATCAGCTAGTAGACCAGCTTGTTTTTCTGCGCATTAAGCCAAAGTATCTGAAAAGTCACAGCTTCCTGAGTAATTATTTCTTAAAATTTGACAAATGTTCAGTCTTACTAGACTTTTGGGGGGTTTATGACGGTTTTTGGGAAGGAGTGGTAGGATGGTGACCATGACTTCACTCCAGTGTTCTAAACCTGAACCCCCCTCAACCCAAACAAAACCAAACAAAAAACCACCAACAAACCCCAACCCTGAAGCTATAGCTTTTTTCATTTCTGTGATTTCTTGATAACTTTTGTAATCTTTAAGTAGATTTGAATAATGTTTTAACAAAATAACTTTTTTTTTTCCCCTCCCATACTGAAAAAGGTGTTAATTGAGGGTGAAATGGTTTGGATGTTTTTACACTCCAACATATAATTTTTTAAAAAAAGAAAAAAAAGTATTAAAATATCAGATGTTTCTCTAGAAAGTACATGAGCTGCATTCAGTGTAAGTTCTCTTGCTTTCTCCTTCAGATACTGGGGTTTTTCCTGAAATTGCTCCTCTTGGGGAACAATGTTACTAGTACATTATCTATAACCCTTTTGCCTTGTAAATTAATTTTCAGTTTCACAAATCCAAATCCTTTGTGCCATAGCTGAAATATTATTAAAAATTAAGGCATTGAATTGCCATTTTAATGTTGAAAGTTTATTTGTCGAGGTAGCTGATGGTTGGAATGCTTCAGAGAGTTTTGGTAATGCAAGGGAATTATCTTTCTAAGGTGGGGGAGGGGAAAAAAATCCACCTTGAATCATAACCTTTGCTAAAGCCAGACACTTTAAAGATGATATAGTCATGCATGCAAAGAAGAGAGCTTGTTTATATTTGTATGCTGGATATTATTTGATCCTTCTTAGTGCTGAAAGAAGCAGCACGCTACTGTTTTGTATCTTTCCTCCGATCTAGATTGACCTGTATTTACAACTTCATGAAGAATTAAATGCCTTTAAAAATGAGAGCAGTCACTGGTCCTTTTTCTTCTTAGAGCCAAAGACGCTAAACCTTATGACACAGTTCAAAGACTTAAATATAGATAACATTGCAAAAGAGGAATGGAAGCCAATTACTGTTTTTCAAATATGCATAGGTTGAAAATTAAATCATATTAATTTAGATTTTTGTATGCATAAACTGTGAAAGACAGTTTACCATTTGTGTACTATGTGACAGAGGAAGGGTGGGAGATCTAAATGGAAACCCTAAGTCAGTCTGAAAAACAAAACACGCAAATTTCATTATTCAAATATTATATATAACTCTTCTAATCAACTAAGGCAGCATCAGTATCTCTTTATGATTCTTTAGTGTAAACTGATAGGTACAGATCCAGTACTTTCATACAACCATTTCACGGAAGAATCTGTAATTACAGCTAACAGCCATTGCAGAAGTACCAGACTTAATATCAAGACAGATTTATATGAAGAGAAAACCTGTTTTCTCAAATTGAAAGATCATTTGAAGCAGCTCCTACATGCCCTTTGCTTAGGAACTTGTTTGTATACAACAGTTGTTCTCTTTTAACCCGTAAGGGGTAAATGAACTTGTGAATCCATACTAAGAGGTGACAAAATTATATAAATGTCTTGTGGTAGTGTAGGATGTTCCCCCTGCCTTCCCACATCAGTTATACCTTTTACAGATAATATACCTTAAAGTTGCATGACTAGTAGAGTTCATACAATATTTTGTAATTAAATAACAAAATAATTATGTTACTGCAAGATGGAAAATGGAGGAGGCCTCCAAGCTTGAATTTCTGGTGCATGGTCTTGCAACAGTGTTTTTTTGTGTGGCAGTTTCACCAGGGTCATGGGAGGGTGGCACCTAGGTCACATTATCTCCACTTGCAGACTTACCCATATTCAGAGTTGTGCTTCTGTGTGACTATCATGGCTAGTCTGCAGTAGTTTGACTCTGCATTAATTGTTTTATATATATTTTATTTATTTATTTATAAAATCGGTGCAGCTTAGAATATGGAGAGGGCTAAAGATATCTTGGAAGACTTGGTAGGAATGATTGCGAAACACATTTGCATGATGGTCAGAAAAAGATGACCTTTTCTGGATAGGATCACCTGAAGCTGATCTAGAGTAGTAACTGAGTCATGCAAGTAATTTTTCTTCTTAGAGTCAAGTCTTCCTTGATGTTCTGAAAGAGTTGGGTTTTTAGAATGCTTAAGCCCATTAGAATGGAGTATTTTTTTATTCATCCACTTTGCTTCTGGGTGGGAGGTTTAGATCTCTCTGTATATACTAATAAAAAAATAATTAAAAGACAGATTGTATTCCTTTAATAAATAGTCCCATAGAACTGGTTATATTATGTTTCTGTATTATACAGATCACCAGAAAGACCCACTGGAGATCTTCGGGAAAGAATGAAGAACAAACGTCAAGACGTTGAGGCAGAGCCACAGAAACGAAGTACAGAGGAATCATCCTCTCCTGTTAGGGTAAGAATGGAGTTTGCAGAACTCCAGAATCCCTCAGTAGCAATTGGGCAGTGTGTCCTAGAAACCTGATCATGGTGACCTGTAATATTTAAAATGTTTAATGAACTGATCATTTTTTATGTAGCATGTGGCATATTTTATTATGAAGTGTCTTAACAATTGTATTATTATTTTGCAATTTTATAGCACTTTCTGGTCTTCTGGTTCCCAGAGATTTTACAAATCCCGCAGACTAAAATATGTTATAAATACTGATAAACAGGCATTTAATAACGGTGCAGACTCTTTGATTATTACCAAGAAAGTATATTAACCATTGTTACAATCATCTACTATTTTTCCCCCAACACTTACTCATATCCATTGTTTACATGCATCCTGACTCCAGTTGTTCATCCCAAATTTGCTTTTGTTGAGACCATGCAGTTACCATTGTGCTGGTTCATTTTGCCTTCCTCCTCACATACCCATCAACCATCTCAACTGCTCATTTTTTGATCTTGCAAAAAATTAATTCATTACCATTCTCATTTTCTAATCATCTTTCTGCAACCCCTCAAATATCAGAAGTTACTTATTTTTCGATGTGTTATCTGTTCCTGATGTTACAAACAAATAGGGGCAGAGTTGGTAGTGTGACCCTGCACCAGTGTATTCCTGCGTCATGTTTTTTAAGACCATCTTCATATGAATAATGATTAAAAGTTTTTGTTTGTGAAAAATGAGTTTTGCTTCTGCAGGTATTAACAGCATTCTTTTTTTTCCTCTCGGTCTGTTCCTACTTGCTGTGTAAAATGAATTTTTATGTCAGGTGTAAAGAAATCAACAGCAG